TCAAATCAGTTCTCGCTCGCTAGCAAACCAAACATTATATTCCTCAGCGTTTTTTCTAATTTTTATCATTACATTATGCGTGGTGTGAAAAGAAAGAGAGGTAGAAAGAAGATTCAAATGATTTCTATGTCGGAAGAGGCAAAAGCTACACTGAAGGCATCAGCCCACCGAACGAAAAACAAAATCGATGTGAGCGTCCAAACATGACTTTCCCTGAAGGCATGAATCCGAGTTTCTGATTTACTGAGAGATTTTATTTTTAAATAATTGTTCTCAAAAAATAAACTGAGCATGTGAAGAATAATTTAACATTGTTTACAGTGATAACTGCTCATTGTCGAAACGAAGCTTACCCATTCACGCTAGTCACAATTAAAAACCTCATACTCTTGAATGACTATGACTACGGTAAAACTTAGAAAATGACGCCAAAATACACCTTAAAAGTCCCATTTTATTTTTTTCCTAAATCCCATTCCGAATTTACGGCAGAATCTGGTCCCTCAAATAAGGGGCACGTGAGCTTTGATTCTAACCGGATATATTGCACTGGGTCGGGGAGATACAAACTTTTGTGTATCTTTTGTCCAATGGATACCTGTACTTCGATCATTCGCAAGTTTTGCTCGGTGGTGCGAGACAGCTTTGTTTGCAACCGGTCGAACTCTGTTTAATTCAATGAAGCAAACAACTGACAATGCTAAAATAAATTGCAGAGGTACGCTAAAATTAATTGAAAACAACCAAATAATTTCAATGAAAAATAAATCACAGAGAGAGGTAACTTGATACATTACGGTAACAACTCTTTTGACGCGCTGACCGCTTCTCCGCGTTTGATGTTTTGTTTTCCTTGTCATAATACTGTAAAGGGGGTAATTATTCACTGGGTTTTAATTTAGCTTATTTCGCTGACTGGAAAAATGCGCTAAATTAAAACACAGTGAATATGTAAAATTTAGCATAGAACACATTATCTAAATGACGAAACCGTGAATTTAAAACCCACTGAATATGCCCGAAATGGTAAATCAGTGAAATTTAAACCCAGTGAAAATTAGTCATTTTACAGTACTTACTGATTGATGATTTTGTTTTGATTTTTGAGTTTTTTAGCCTGCAACTCGGCCACGACCTTTGCTTTTTCCGTGAAAAATGAGGAAGTTTACGTCAATTTGACGGACATTCCATTTTTTTAAACTAACGAAGCACACTGTTTAGCACTCCTATTTTTTTCATTTGCCGATTTCTATTCAGAAAAATTCGACCGCTCGAAAATGCACCTTAATTTTGCACTCTTAAAACATGTCAGATTTCCAACACTAATTATTTAAAACCGGTTGAAATTTTAAAACTTTTACGTTAGGAGCTGGAGCTCTCTTCTTGCAGGCGACCGTCGCCGGTAGTACAACAGCATGTTTTGTACGTACATCCGTGCGCTGATTGTCTGCGACTGTCTTAGAAAATCCCTGAATAAGGCGTTGCCAAAATCGGAAAAAATATAAAAATGCCTCCTTAAAAAACGAACAGAACTCAAATATTTCTTTTAACAAAATATGTTGCAGTGGGAAAAATGGGATTGGAAACGATGAACAAAACTTCTGTGCCTCGCGTTTTGATTCTAGGATTACGCGATTATTCATTATTGTGCGTTCGCTTCCTACTACATAAAAATCATCAAGGATAAATAATTTAAAATCCCACTTTGTACTCTTCACGGTAAACCATAGGCTCTGAAATACTCATAGATTTTTTATTGAAAATACATGGAAGAGAAGCCATGATGTTTTGATCGTGATAAAAGGTCACTTTCCTAGGACCGCCCCCTGTTTAATAATTCATGAGATGACGTCATATTTACTGGGCATTGCCACATGTTTTTACCGACCCCATCAAAACACTGGTATGAATGACGTGTTTCTGATTTATATATTCAAGAGCAGCTGTTCTGGTCCAACGATTTTACATAAAATGTCTATGTCTATATGTTAACTTTCAATTTCAATAGTCTAGAAAGTATGACAAAGCAATATTTCCCGGTTTAACGCGCAAATATGCAAATTAGCCTTTTTCTCGTCTTCTATTTTTGGTGAATTCTTGGGTTTTAAATTAAAATAGCTTTGGCCATTTGCCTCGAAATTTTCACACATTATTGACAAGGTGTTCCCCCTTCAAAATGCGTCCGGACAGTTTATTACGGCGAGTGGAACAAAAATAACAAGTCCGCAATTAACATGGATATATAAATTATGCAAAAATAGAAAAGAGTGAACTTTGAGGTCATGCTGTGCGACTTTGAAAGCCGTTAGAGAGATGAGTGGACGCATTTGAATTAGTAATATACCAAGGTATCCAGTGATGTAATTTTACCCACAAACAGACTGGAAGTTTTTAAGCTAATTTTTTTTAAACCACTTTTGTCCAAAAAAGCATATTTTTGACCCAAAATCAAAAACGCATTCTGTATATTTAAAATAAAGACAAGTTTTACAAAGGTTGTATAATAAGCTTTCAGAAAATATATAACATGTTGGATATATAATACCATCTTCATTGTCTAACTACTCAATTAAAAAGCAAGCCAAATAAACTGCATCTCTACCTTAAATCATTACTGTTGCTTAAATCATTATTGTATTGGGTGATATAACCATAACAGGTGCTTTACTCTTGAAAAGTTAAGTGAATACGAAGCTACTTACAAGATAGTGTCTGATTGGATCCTCAACCCTAACACCTAACAGCCAGACCAATCAGAGAGCATCTTGTTTGTTGACTGGGGTTTTTCACATATATGCTGTAACTGGTCAAACTGACATAATTTCTCTCTTTTTTTTTCAGACCGTTCTTGGAGATTTCCTTGGTGATTCTGACAAGTAAGCATAAACTTACTTATTTATAAACTTCATTTACATCAAATGCCATCAACTTTCTCACCAAAATTTTGGTCAAACATTTTGCATATTCTGTATTTTTTTACAATTTAATGTTTTGCACAAATTGAAAATAATTTGGCAGAATTTTTGAAAAAAACAATATTGAAAATTTAGCTTCTGCAATCCTGTAGTGCTGTCTTGACCATTGAGTGACAGACATTATGTTCACAGTTAACTATCATAAATATTTTTGCAGATTCAACAAGGAAGTCATGTATGCGTACGTAGATCAGATGAATTTCTCCTGGCCGAACTATTGTTCCAGCTCTCAGGATGTTCCTAGATGATTTCCGGTTGCCTGGAGAAGCTCAAAAAATTGATAGACTGATGGAAAAGTTTGCTCAGAGATATTTTGAGACGACTGCCTACCAGGGTCTCTTTGCCAGTGCTGACACTGCCTATGTCTTGGCTTATTCTATTATTATGTTAACAACGGATTTACATAGTTCACAGGTCAGTCCTAACTGAACAAGCAAATCAATTTTACAAATGTTGCATATGACACTATGATTTCCATATCGAATATATCGCAGCCGCGACCACTGTAAAAAGTAATGTATGTCTTAATATATGTACTAATTAATCTATGAGTAACATCTAAACTTTTGAAGGGTGGGAAATAATATACTAAAATAATAATTTTTTCATCTACTGCAGGTGAAACACAAAATGACCAAAGAGCAATATATTAAAATGAATAGGGGTATCAATGATAGCAAAGATTTGCCTGAAGATTTCCTCTCTGCAATTTACGATGAGATTGCAGACAATGAAATTAGGATGAAACAAACTGCAAACAAACCAACGGCCAAGACAACAGGTATGTTATGTGTTTTAGTTGTTGATCTACTATGTTCTTTTCTATTTGATGGAGGTTGTTGCGATAACAGCGCCCTCTGTTGGTGGTTGCCATGCTATCATGGCAGCCATCTTGTTCGAACTATTACTGAGTAGTACTATCTAATATATCTCAATTATATTTGTTGAATGAGTGCATATTAATGCTCAAAAGATTTGTAATTTTTTTTCTGAATGAATGTTAACTAATGTGTTAGCTAAAGACATGTTTTACATTAGTTCTAAGAAACAGTAGTCGAATAAAATAAAATTTTCCTTTTCTCATAGAATAATGAGCATTAAAGTTATTTCCACAACAACATGTTCTCCACACTGTACTATGGTATATTGTTGGGGGGGTGCATGACAGGATTGGCTGCAAAAATCATCTCATTTACATAAATTATTATTCATAAGCAATGAAAATAGTTTTTTTTTTCGGTAAAACTGTGCAAAATGCTTTACCATAGCAAACGTGGTAGTTATAAATTGACTGATTGTATCAAAAAACTGATGTAAAAGGGAGTTTTTCCAGCAAACTGTTTTATGGTGATCATAGCAAGTATATATTTCACACTATTACTGTTCCTCAAAAGTTTTGTTAAAGAATATTTTGTAAAGAAGTCGTTGAAATGATTTTATCTATTTGTAAAAGAAATGTTGCTTTGACAGTGGCCTACAAGCGACTGACTTCAAAACATTCCTTTAAGATCGGATGGCACCCACCCTGCTTTGACAGTGGCCTACAAGCGACTGACTTCAAAACATTCCTTTAAGATCGGATGGCACCCACCCTGCTTTGACAGTGGCCTACAAGCGACTGACTTCAAAACATTCCTTTAAGATCGGATGGCACCCACCCTGCTTTGACAGTGGCCTACAAGCGACTGACTTCAAAACATTCCTTTCAAGATCGGATGGCACCCACCCCTGCTTTGACAGTGGCCTACAAGCGACTGACTTCAAAACAATCCTTTAAGATCGGATGGCACCCACCCCTGCTTTGACAGT